GGAAAAGCCTATGGGCTGCCCATGTGGTGTAGGAGTTAGGGCAGTACACATTTCAAACCTAACAACACATTGGACACAGGACACAAACACCAATATCCAGTGCTAAGGTCTGACTTTCCTCCAAAACAAATTTGGTAATGCAAATTAGTAGTATGAAAACGTATTTTGTAGGAGACAGGGTTGCACTGTCAAGTCTCCAAATTTGAATTTGTAAATGCTCAGATTCAGCCTGTACATTCCCCTGCTGATCTGGATTTACAAAACGGAAGAACAATAATTAAATCATGAATACTGCATTACCTGCACCCAGCAGTGATTGGATTCATCTCTGTGTTGATCTCCTTTGCATATTCAGCTCTTTGAGAGTTTTCTAAAGATGTCAGTGTCACTGATAGCAGTTCAGAAAGGGCTCTGATTGATCTTGTTTATTATTAAATTATTGAGCGTTACATAAATGGCTGCTGCCGGTTCCCCACTACAACCAAGCGGTGCCACCATGTAAAGGTGAAAGTCAGCAGATTCCTTTTTCCTTCCTCATTCTCTTCCTGTAAGCACGGCGAGGGAGACGAAAGAAGGAAAAGAGAGATTGAAGTGGAGGGTTGTGTTATCCAGCGCCCGACGGTTTATTGATCCTCATGGTGCCTCTCCCTCTTTCTCTCTTCACAGCAGGGCGGAGTAAATTGGACTGTTTTCTTCTGCAGTGATTGACGTCTGCCTTCTATGAGCAATGTTTTCAAACGTGAAGAGATATTTTCATCGGACTGGAATGATTTTTTTCTGTCGACTCTGGCAGTCCCTCCTAAAATGACAGAGTTCTTTGAGTACATACTGCGTCTGTGCTGACAGGTGACGAGTGTTAAGCTAAACAACCTACAGTGCATTGTGACAACACTGTCAACAGAAAACAAAGGGAGAGGACGACAAATGGCGTTTCTGTCACTTATCGCCAGGACTAAGAAAACAGCACAGCCCAGTCCAAGCATGAAATCATGTCTGGAGGGAAATTCTGTGTTTGAAAAAAAAAAAAAAAGTTGTATTGCAGGGAAAGTGCTAAGAAAGACACAGCAGTGCTTTGTGATTCTGGGCTTTGTTTTTGAGAGTCTCTGTGTGCAGAATGTGTGGCACTGCAAGCCAAAGGAATCATGTCAGAATATACCAAATGGCATTGTTATATTTTGAATTCTCTCTTACTCTATTATGAGTTTTCTGTCTTTCTCTTTTTCTTTGTAGTTGGCAGCTGCACTTAGGAAGAAAACGCATTCTTCAAATTTAATTTAATCTCAATATATCCTTGTGAATCCATGTGAACTACAAGTAAAGCCTTGAAAAGGTTGAGTTTAGACGCAAGTTGATGGTTGTATTGTTGCACGGATCCATGTTCATGCTGTAGTTTTGTCATGTTAAGCTGATTGAATAATTCCCAGTTTATGCATAATAAGTACTGAATGTACAGTCAAATTAAATCAAGTGTCATTGGAGAGCTGTCAAACAGCCAGAAAAGTGTTGCTATGGATGATCATGAAAACCTCTTAACGTTTTGACATTTAAATGATTCATTTATCTGCTAATGGCAACTATGGTTAAGGTTAGGGAAGGACATGGTTTGAATTATACAATAGCTTTTGTGGAGCTCTATTTTCTGGTGCACACCACTACTAAACGTGTCATATGCTTGCGGATACATGGAGGTCTGTGATCAATTGGATGGTTACTGCAAAAAACATTCTACTGTTACTACTACAGGCAGTGATACTGTCAATAACATTTCATAAAGGCAATATTACGACAACATAACACAGGCAGAAATAATAATGCACACCTCTTCAAGAATCACGCATCTCATGGTAAAACAATACATTTGTTAAACACTGTTTAGCCAACTTGAGTTTTTACACAAGAGAAATAAAGAGACTATCTTGTGCTGTTTAAGGCTTTTATGGGTTATATGGAGCCTGATACCAGATATCAACATCATCTGATCTGTGTGAATGTAAACTAGCAAAGATTTCTTGAAAAGTTCTATTTACCAGCACAAAAAGCAAGCAGGCTACGGAACTGAATAAGTAAGCATGTTCTGTCTGTCTGTGTATATATCAACCTCCTCCACTCCATTTGAGAACCATGGACAGCGTGGTTGCCATGGCAGCACACACAACAAAATATGAGCAAATAAACACATGGCACCAACATCTTTTTACTAATGTTATTTATTTCAGGAACCTTTTTAGAGCTCCTAAAATTCTCAAAGTAAGCTTTCATTAATTAGTCTGTGACTTGTGAAGAACTGAACGCACAACACATACTCAGCTTTCCAGTGCCCTTGCATTGCCATTGTGTCAGTTTGTCTGTGGCTGATACGGTACTGTTTTGTTCGTCTTGTGCAAATTACAAATTGTCAGTTTCACCCAGTTGTAAAAAAACTGGCAACAATACGGATTGTGAAACCAGAGTGAAGGTTGAAATGTCTGGCCCGAGCACAGGCATGACACACAGACCACACAACCGACCCTGTCACTCATCAAGTTCCACTGCACATGTAACCCCACAGAACCAAAAAAGCCTGCACTTTCAGAGCGGGTTAGGGCTTCACCGTCAAGCTCAAGGTCACCTTAATGAGAATAAACCCTCCCTGTTAAGATGTGGTGCACCTTCAACCCGGCCCGCTGAAAAGTCTGTAGTCTGTAGTCAGAAAGAAAGAAAGTCCATAAAAGCATCATGCAGTCAAATGTCGGATCAGTTCAACCATTTTTGCACCACTTACAAAAATGCTGAATTAGCACAATACAGGTTTAGCTTGAAACAGAGATTTACATTGTTTTTCTCAAAAAGTGAATGTTTAGTCTGAAAGTGAAATCATATAATACCATGCCACTTTTATAGTGTCACTTAAAGGGCAACTCCAGTGATTCAATGTTGCCCTGCCACAACATTGGGAAGCTCATAAAACACAAAATTGACCCCACAAAGGGTCCGTAAGTTAATTTCCAGGGGTCGCCAAATGGTTGTGGAGAATAAAATAAAATAACATATTGTGGCAAGCAGTGCGGAGTGATAGACAGGAGGCATCTCTCAGCAATGTCATCCCTTTAATGACATTCAACACAGGGGGCAAGAACTCAAAAGCACAGTAACATAAGCTGTATACTGCGTTTTTATGTTAACTGACCCAGTTGCCTCAGTAGAGTGAGAATGTATTTCTATATCTATTATTGTTCTTTTAGGCCTAACAGCAGACATGTTGACTGTGAAAGTGCTGTGAATAAATCTAAAAAAAATTAATTAGTTGTTCTGTCTGTGTGCAAAGCAATGGTCTTCCTGTGTGAGTATAGTAGCTTTCAGGTGTATACACATGGGGGGAAGGGGTCACGAACACCAACCTGATTATCCTCAGGGGTTGCAACTCCACAGAAGATGTTATAAAACTGTTTTCACAGGCTAAAAGGACTCCACAGGACAAGACAATACATCTACAAGTGCAATATCAGTGGTGTTTCCCTTTAATATGCTACAGTAGTTGTGCATTTACATGAAATAAGTTGGATTTTAAAGTGTTGACTTCCTCAAAAGTTGACAGTTTAAACAAGCTACCCCTTTGATTGAGACCTTGTTATCATGCCCAACCTGTTGACATCCTCATCTAACAAAACCACGTCTCACTGCAGATTCAATTTAACTTCTTCCCCTCTTGCATGGAAACTAGTCCCCCAACAGCCAATTACCAAGAGTTGTTTAAGATCCCCAGAGCCCTATCACCACCCAGCATCTCATAATTTAGCCCACCCCCCTGACACACACACACACACCTCATACTGCTGATTAAGGGTTCTGAGGCCATACTGAAATAACTCACCTCCCTTTACCCATCCATCCCCTCCAAAACACTGCTTATTATTAATCTTTTATTATCTCTTGATTGAGAAATCTTCAGTTCATTTGGATGTATCTTCCACACACCATTAAAGGACAAGCTAAGTAATCATATACTAGTGGTAATAACAGCATCCTGTGAGTACAACTGATTTTCAATCACTGAAGCATAAAGTTATGGCTCATCGCTGTTCATCCAGCTACTTTAAAAAACATGGCTGAGGATCGGCTAATGAGAGCCCTTAGTGGACTCATTTTTCATTTACAAGCACAAAGGAAACAGTCAGCAGTCTGGTCTGGTATTAATAAGAACATCAACTGTGGTGCAGATCTGATTTCTCCCCACGTCTGAAAGCCATGCCCCGACCAACTGCATCTCAGGCTTCAAAACACTGCTGATGGATGACTGCCCATGAACTCTCTGAAATCTCTACATTTTCATTTATCTTTTCTGTTTTCTAAATTATCCTCAGCAAGCACAAATACGCCTCGAACGCCATTAATTGCACCACGGTTTCACGGTTTCTAAGATCAGGTCACTTTAGCATTTCCATATTTCCTCTTAAGCAACTGGTGCTTTGCTTATTAATTTCAATGATAAGATCATCCATTAAGGTACGCTTAGCAGATTCCCTCAGAAGTGTTCACTGTCCACAATCAGCCATGCATGTTGTGATAAATCGCTGGGAGAAGTCAAGCTCTCCAACCGCACTACTGTGACCACAGAGTATTAATCACGGCAGGACAGATTATTACCCGTCCTCCATCCATCTTTTGCTGGTGACATTGCAGGGTCTAAACAAACAATAGTGTGTTTGGTATTATCCACAATGTGCAGTATGTTATGAGGCAGTGGCAGGCACTCGTTGGATGGAGAGTAAGTAGCCTCTGCTGGAAAAACCAACTCTTTTTTTCCTGCTGCAATTTAGGGTGATATGATGATTTATTTGCAGAATTGTAGAGTGGAGAAAGAGACAATAATGAAGTTTGAGGAGTAATAGGCTGCTAGAAGACAGTGAGATGAATTAGAGCTGTCACTAAGCCCGATTGTTGGAGAGCGAACGCATTCGTGAAAAAAATATATATTTAGGGCTTGTTTGTGACTAACAAGAGCTCCTTTGTTTGTCCTTCAGCATCTCCAACTGTCCCTCCGCTACACTCGGAGCATTTCAAACCCTGTCATGAGAAGGACCTGGCCTACTGCCTGAACGGCGGCGAATGCTTTGTCATCGAGACGCTCAGTGGGCCCCACAAGCACTGCAAGTAAGTGACTCAGCTGCTGTTATTGTTGATACTATTATTTAAATGCCTCCTCTTCCTCTCCTCTGCTCCTTCCTAATATTCCTTGTAATATTTCTCTGGATTTTCCTGCATCCAATAGCAATGTTCAGGGTCTGGCTGAGAGTAGTTTGTGATATGGCTGCCTTGTGTATTGCTGAGACAAGACTTTGTGAGACACTTTGTATTGACTGAATATGATTATTCGGTTGTTTAATTATCTGACTGCTATTGTGTGTTTTTGCTGTCTGCTCACAGGTACCTTTAAAGTTTGACCCACCATCCATAGCTGTGATTTATTATTTTTGATCTTCTTGCAGTAATGGAATGTGTAAAAGTTTATTATGGTTATTTATCTTTTACATTTCAAGGAATATCCCTTTAGTTTAAAGGGGTTTTCGATCTATCTTTTATCAGTCAATATATCAGTCACCTCACCCACTGCTTGGGTTTGACAGGGTTTTTCTGAAAAGTTTACTTCAGGTAGTACTGTGCCCTGTGGGATTTCAATGGTGACCTGGAGTCATAAAAGGCATTCTATTGGCATATTCCTATTCTGTCATTGAGCCGTATGTTCAAACAGTCATAGTTTCTCCCCTAAGATAAGTACACTTTTTTTATGTTGATATTGAATCCAGAAGCTGTGTTAGAAGTATATTTAGCAATGAAATAGTACATTAATGTTTATTTGAAACATACTGAACATGCAATACTGATCAAGAGCAGAGGAGTGGATTATACAGTAATAGAAATGTTTCTATGGAGATTTTGATCCTTTTTTTTATTGTTGTGACTCACCGTTACAATCCATAGTAACTGCTGTGAATGTAAGCTGACAGAACAATATTTAGACTTATCAGAGCCATGTTTCAAGCGTATGGAGTTTTGGTACTCAAAAGCTTTACTGTGAATCTAAAAGAGCTGCCTTTTCTGAAAATACTCCTTGGTATACTATGATTTTCTCTAGTTTAATCTCTGTGCAGATGCGTGGGTACATGTCATCGTGTGTGTGTGTGTGTGTGTGTGTGTGTGTGTGTGTGTGTGTGTGTGTGTGTGTGTTTGTGTTTTTTTGTGTGTGTGTGTGTGTGTGTGTGTGTGTGTGTGTGTGTGTGTGTGCGTACTCGTGTGCGTGCGTGCCTTCGTTGTCCCAGATTTGAGAGCAGAGCTCATGGGCACTTAGCCCGTTCAAATGTGGGCCCTTTACTAATTAAGTCCCAGAACAACTTCTTCCAAAATCTAACCGCAGGACTTCCACCCGACCTGTTTTTCAAAGAGCCTGTTTTGCCTCCTCTGTGGTACGACTATACATCCATATGCGTGTGTGTGTATGTTTATATGTGGATGATTAGATGATTGCGATGGTTGAGTTTCGGCCCAGCATTGTAAATGAAACAAAGTTGAGCACAGGAGATGCAGTGATGCGTGTGCATGTGAACACACATTACACCACAATGTATACACATGAACACAACAAACCAGATTACCGGAAGAAATCCAGTTACAGAGGAAATTTGTCAGTGTATTTACATGAACAGTGAACTGGTAGCTATAAAATCCACTTGCTGCAGGGCCAGTAATCAGATTTCTCCCCTATGCACAACCTTATTTGGGAACCATACTTACTTTAGGTGTATAAAGACGCAGACTATTCTGCATTCAAGGTTGCACGGTTGTAGGTGCATACAGTCCACCCAGACATACACAGAATACCTTTGTAGGGAATGATGATTTTATTGATTTCAGAGCCGTTATCGATTCTGCCTATCAGTCAGATTTTTTTGCAATTCACCTTAGAGATTCCAAATACAATTTCTGTGTGCGAAACGAGTAAGCCTACACAGGTTTTCAGCATCAAGACAATTATTTTATTATATCTGAGTCTGAGCACACTGTAGAGACAGAGTTGAAAAAATGCATGCATGTAGAGTGCCAAATACATACAAAGGCATTCCTTACATTCAAGCCTATGTTGCATAGAAAGATGTGCCAGCATATTGCTGGTGTTTCCACTCTTACTTGAAATGATAATTTTACAGACATTACAACTAGCACTGTTGTCATCTTTTTTGGTGAAATGAAGCCTTACATTGGACTGTTTCTTCCTCTCCACCGTGACTCCTTCTTGTTGCAACTGCATTGTTGTGCAATGTGCAACTGTCATAAAACATGCTGGCATCGATAAAAGGAACTGATACGTTTCGAGGCATATAATTCTGATGGATCGGAAAATTTGGAACATCCCATCCCTATACCCTCGTTGACATTACGAAATGACAAATCTGTGTAGTTGCGAGGGTCTGCAGCTACGGAAAGTATAATTTGGACTTAAGTAATACAGGATACAGCTCCCTGAGGGCTGATTGTTTGATAGGTTTCTGCAGCATGTTTCTCCAATCCCCTCACCTGATGAAAACTGGTTTGTTGTTTGTTGTTTACACAATGTTTAAAAAATCAGGACTGGTTGCTTAAGTGAAGACACTGAAAGAATTACCCAATTAAGTCTGTCCTGCAGTTCTCAGTGTATTATGCACTGTGTAATCCAATCAACGTCCAAAGTCCACAACTGCACAGACTTCTTTTTTTTTAGCTTTCTATTTTATTTCAGAATAGCAACAATATTTAAAAGAAAGAAGGGGAAGCAGGATGAGAAGCAGGAAACAACAGTGAGAGAGCGGGAGAGAAAGACCGAGGTGTAGGCGGACGAGGAGTCGGACATGGGGGAAGGCTGTTGCCCTCCTCCCATGCTCGCCTCCGTTGCTATGACAACATAATCTGTGGACAAGCATAGCTGTTAAAGAGGGAAGGTTTGCGATGTACAGTGGGATAGCCTTGAACACACTCTCTGTGCATGTTAATGTGTGTGTTGAGGTGCAGGAGAGTTAAAAAACTGCACCAGGTTGATCTCTGCCTAATCGTGTGGCAATGAGCTTTGAAAGGAAAGATGTGGACCATCAAACAATATGGCATCCCCCTTAATCTGTGTAACAGCTGGTATGATCATGCAGTAAAACTAAGAAGTGTGTTTAGTACGTTGCTTGAAAAATAGCATTTTGAGTTTAGAAGAGGTGATATTTGATACCTTGGAATTTAGGAATTAAGCTAAGGTAATGATAATCTTTTTGGAATAAAACTCTTTATATGAATATTTCATGGATTGATGTACTTTCAGAGTGAGGCTCTTCCATGACAAAAGAGCAGAAAGTAAATACAGCATTGCTAAAATTCACCAGAAAAGAATAGAAGAGGATATGCCACACTTCAATTGACATGCTGTTAGAGATTAATTTATCCTCATCAACAAAACAATGGCAAATTTCACCCCAGGCACAGGATCAATGCATAATCTGATTCAATTTGTGTTTACAACAAATTGAGACAAATCAGGTTGTAAAAGTGTGATCAATCCAGACGTTTAATGGGGATAAATTAAGCCGGCTGGTGGCGTTATTTGTCACAGAATGAATCATTTTTATTTGCAAGATGAAACTTGATCCTTTTTGCAATGATTTTCTCCAAAGAGTCATAACTCAAGTATCAAGTGCCACTCCCGACCGGTTGTAAAATAAGCGCCGCGATTGTCCCCCAGAGCGCTGTTCAGCGTTGTCAGTGTGCGACTGTTGTGTTTGTCAACCAATGGGGGGAGGGATACACCATGAGTCATGGGGCCTGCTCGTTCTCCACACACACACACACACACACACACACACACACACACACACACACACACACACACACACCAGTGCTCACTGCTTTGGGCAACATAGTCAGGCATTCAATCATTAGTGCTCAACTAACCAGTAAATTAGTCAGGGTGCTAAGATAATATTTTCAGAACATGGCAAGAGGCCAAGGCATTCAGTTCTAAAAGTATGTGATGCTGAATGTGATTAACTTCTTTCTCATCTTAGGAAAAGAACGAAAACTCTAATGATAGTTTTAGTGCAAATTACTGGTTTGAATATATTCCTTTCCATTTGCCTATATACTCTCGTCATTTCTCTTTCTGAGTTTTCTGGTGGCTCTCTGAATAACAAATCCAAATCCTAATTGTCTCAGTCACTCTGTTGAGCCAAAGAAACCTGGGGATTTAGCCCTAGCTCTTCTCACTGCCCGCTGTTTATTTATTCTGTCTCCGGAGGTGCAATGGATTCAATTTCTGGCCCGTTTATATAATTTATTTCCTCCTGCTGGCAAAAGGGGTCTCCCTCAGTCTAGTTAGCAACAAGGGCGAGCTAAGCCCCTCTCATTGCCCTCTGTTGAGAGGCTATTCCAGAGTGATAGAAAGGCAATCTCACCTGGCAGGTGGAGGTAGAGGGGGTTCGGACGATATCCCTGCAAAGCCTCCACCAGTGAGACCGGAGGTTTGACACAGACAAAGGGGAGGAACAGATACATGACACACTCTCACGCAAATGCAAACTTGGCACAGTTTGTAGGCTGGAGGCTAAGATGTTGGGTGTTACAGGTTGCAGAGCTGACCCCTCACCAACTGAAGGGGTCTTTTTCAGGAAGACATTGTAAAACCCTCCTGCAGTTCCAGTACACTTTCTTTAAAACATGAGTTGTGAAGGAAAAGTGGCTGCAGTAAGGCTGGATGTGAGTGTTGCTGATAAAAAATACAGCTTCCCATCTTACACAGATTTTGAATTGAGCTGATAGGCAGTATATGACTCAAGGATATTTTTGATATTTATGATAAACTGCTGTGTAAGAAAAATGCATTTATCTCCTTTTTCTTTTCCTTCAACAATTGCACTTTATGATTGAGAGTTTCTACAAAAGGAAATCTCAAGCTTCTCCGGTCCCTTGCTATTCATCCTCCTTCCTCTTCTTTTATATCGTCCACCTATTTCATCACAGCTTCCTCACGCAACAGTGATAGGGACTTCCGCCTAAGAACGCTGTCGACTCAGCCTAAAGCCAATAAAGCTCAATAACAACTTGCTCTGAAAGGAATAGAAAGAGCTTGGACACAGATTACCTGA